TATTCCTGATGTTCAGTCAGAATCTCCTTTCTTGTAACTCGAGGCCATGAGTTCGAGTCCTACCTTCCAGAGAAGGTATAACGTCACTACTCTGCTAGACTTGCTGCAGTCACTTAAATCCCCCTTGAAAACATGCTTAATTCCATGCGGAAAGAGAATCTCATTTACATAAGTTAGCATGGTTTTGATAACTGGACATCTGTTATGGGAACTGCTGATGCTCATTTTGTAGTCATGTCAAGGGCTGAGTTTCTACTGCTTCACCCTAACTAGGCGCATTTACTTGCCACCCACTCGGAGCAACCAGATTTACCTTGATGACATTATTGGGGTTTCTGAAAAAGCAGACCCTTGCAAACCTTCTCTGAACACTCCCAATTGTGTCAAAGATCTGCTTGCAACGTGTGAAGTTAATTACTTTGTGTTGAGCTGCATCGGGGAAATGTGATTTTAATTAAGCAAGCGTGCGTCACGAAAACATATGGGAGAAGCCAGAAAAACACTAACACATTAGCAAAAGGGGGTGAATCGTTGCCAGGAGAGCAGCAGCGCTGGCAACCTGCAGAAAGTTGCATTCTCTCGCTCTCTGTCTCTCTGATCACTTGCTTGAAAGGATCTGGGATATAGCTGTCTTGGTTCATTGGTGAGCTGGGCCACAGGAACTGTCTCGTGCGCGCCTGGAGTCAGGATCAAAAAAAGCTGTGGGACAAGCTGGACGTTAGGATTGAAGGACAAGCCAGGACCAAAGGGCAAGCCAGAACTGGAGGACAAGCCAGAAGTCAGGACTGAAGGACAAGCCAGAACTGAAGCACAAAGTAGAAGCCAAGATCTAAGGACAAGTCAAAACTGAAAGACAAGCCAGAAGTCAGAACTGAAGGACAAGCCAGAACCGAAGGACAAGTGTTGTAAACAAAAATTGCCCTTTTCCCTTATGGGGTATCCAAGAGCCCATATAGAGTCCTTACATAGGTTCCCTATTGGCAGGAGAAAATAACAGAGGACAACCAGAGAATATTGAGAAGCAAAGCAGCTAGTAAGCTTGATCTTTATTGATCTGTTGCAACAGGGTGCTCCCCTCACCTGCAGGAGAGAGGAGGGACCCAGAAAAATGATGCGCAAGGCCTTATAAAGACTTTTGAAATTCCCCTGCTGTAGATCAAGACCACCCCCAGAAACATCATACATACATCACAGAAGGGGTGTAACCTAAGACCACCCCTCAGATACATCACACCTACATCACAGAAAAGGCAGTCTAAAACAGAACATTTGAATGTTGTTTTTCTCCTGTCCTTGTTTATCTCCTGTCCAGCAGGTTACTTGATTGGATTGCCTGGGGAGCCTGGCTAGTCTTTTGTAATGATAAATACTTAGTTCCTGGGCCATGTCATAGGCTCACCCTATTCAAACACAGACATACCCTTAAGACAGGATTTGTGAAGGAAAAGACAATGGGGAGGCTTTTCCAGTTTGACCTTGCAGAGAAAACATTTGGTCAGTTTAGGAATCAAAATGGTTCCAGGTCGGTCTTCCTGTGCTGATCTGTGTACGTGTTTGGTTGGTACGCTTATGAACATTACCATATATCTAAGACCATAAAATTCCTATCACACAAGCCAGGACCAACAGACAAGCCAGAAGTCAGGACTGAAGGACAAGCCAGGACTGAAGAACATCAAAGGATACAAGAACACATGGGAGTTCAGGGAGACCATTTTTGCTCAGGCAAGGTTCAAAAGGAACAAGAAGCCCTTTTATACTGCTTCCTGTTGTTACCGGAAAAATCCGAGGGCTCCCTTGGACAAAATAAAGACACCAACCAGGATAACTTGGAGCAAAACAGCAGCCTGTAGGCTTGGCCTTTATTGAACTGTTGCAACAGGGTGTTCCCCTCACTTGCGAGAGGAAAGACCCAGAAAGATGGTGTGCAAGACCTTATAAAAACTTTTGAAATTCCCATCCTCTAGGTCAAGCCCACCCCCAGAAACATCATGCATATATTACAGAAAGGAGGGGTTGAGGGAGGAGTTGTGGTGGTAACCTGAGTGTCCTGTCACCTGGCTGGTTCCTCCTTTCCCCCTGCCCATGAGTCACTTCCAGGAGACAAAGGGAGTTGGCAGTTTCCTGCCCCCAGAGGAAGATCTGATCATTGTCCTTTGTTTCAGTCCATGCTGAATCCACTCCCATATGCAAGTTCTTTGTGATCTTGATGGTCTTCTGTCTAGGACCATCAGGGTTGGCATAGCAACTGGGCAGGGCTCCTGTGGATGTGCTAGGGTGGTGAAGGGATTATGGCTGACCAGAACCAAGCCACCCCCCTTTGATAGTCCTTGTCATATGGAGTAAAATAAAAATGGAACAGTGCAAATCCGATGTATGGTTGATTTTTCTATGAATTTATAACAGAAGTGTGGCATATGTAGTGTGTGAGTGTGAGTGTGTGAAGTTTGTACAAACTGAATGATTGGGGTGGGGGGTTCCTGCTACACTGTCCAGAAGAATCTCACGACCAGTGAGTGGAGGCAGTCTGACTCCTGAAGGACCGTACGTTGCTGAGAAGCTGCCACCTGCAGTTCAGCAGCTCAGCCACATGAGGGAGCTGCACACAGACCTAGCCATTCCTGTAAGCTTAATTCTTTGGGTGAAAAACCCAGTCCTTTGAATTGACTAAGAGGGCACCCTCTGATGAAGCAGACAGCATTATTAACTCTGATGCACCGAATCACGCTGTGTTTAAATCATAAAATGCTGCACTTTAAATGCACGGATATTTATCACTTTTAATGCAAGAGCATATAAAAAGTGCAGGTGGCCAGTTGCATTTCCACAGATGCATCCGCCCACCTTTCTCCTGGAAGAGAATAGCTCTTCTAAGAGGGTATCCCTGCTATACCATCAGGCTAAAACAAGGGCAGGCCCTGGGTAGGACTGGCCCCATGTGGACAACCATCACAACTGCAGCTTGGTGGTGGTACTTTTGGTTTTTTCCCTGGGCATTCTTCTTCTTCTTCTTTGGAGATCCCTCATAGCCGAGTAAGATTGTCTTCCATAAACACGGTTTTAGCAATGAGTCCGTTAGTGACTGTGGAAGCCAATTCTGGATCCACACGTCTTTCCACAGTGGGGACATTGGTTCCCGGGCGGGAGTTGATCATGGTGTGGATTTGACAAGCGCATCTTCCTCTTGGCACATTTCTCTCTTGCGTCCTGAGTTTGAGTGTCTTCAAAGCCCATGACACCTTGGTAAAGGCTGTTCTCCAACTGGAGCGCTCGCAGGCCAGTGTTTCCCAGTTGTCGGTGTTTATACTACATTTTGTTTAGATTTGCCTTGAGACAGTCTTTAAACCTCTTTTGTTGACCACCAGCATTACACTTTCCATTCTTAAGTTCAGAATAGAGTAGTTGCTTTGGAAGACGATAAACAGGCATCCGCACAACATGACCAGTCCAACGAAGTTGATGTTGAAGAATCATTGCTTCAACACTGATGAGTGATAGGCCAAGCTTTTCGTAAGCTTCTGCAAATATATTCAGGATGGTTTGGAGGTCATCCTCTGAGCATGCACAGACTACGTTGTCATCAGCATACTGAAGCTCTATGACAGAAGTTACGGTAACCTTACTCTTTGCTTTCAGCCTGCTCAGATTGAAGAGCGTTCCATCTGTTTGATATATGATTTCTACTCCGGTGGGAATTTCCCTTCCACAAAGTGTAGGATCATGGCAATGAAAATAATGAATAGAGTTGGGGCAATAACACAACCCTGTTTAACACCTGATCCCACTGTAAATGGTTCATTTTGAGAGCTATTGTTATCTGCGATTGTTGCTGTCATATTATCATGGAGGAGCCGAAAGATGTTTACAAATTTATCTGGGCAGCCCATTTTCAGAAGGACAGTCCACAGGGCATTACGATTTACAGTGTCGAAAGCCTTAGTCAGGCCAATAAACGCCATATACAGGGGTTGGTTTTGCTCTCTGCATTTTTCTTGAAGCTGTTGAGTGGTGAAAATCATGTCCACTGTCCCCCTAGAAGGCCGAAAACCGTTTTGGGATTCAGGAAGGGTCACCTCGGATTTTGTTAAGAGACGGTTTGCTAAGATCCTTGCAAGAATTTTGCTGGCTGCAGCTGAGAGATGTGCTCCCTGCCAGTGTTGGCGCAGGATGCGGCTCTGTAGCTAGAGGTCAGAGGCTCTTCAGGATCCAACCTGTTGGTGCGTGAACATCTACTCTTGGGTTCTCATTTCTTTCTGCAGCAGTGTTCTTTTAACAGAAAAATTTTCTTGCATCTTTTACTTTTTTTATAGCAGCAGCAGCAGCATTCCACCTCTCTCTTAGTGAAATTCCCATTACAGGAATAAACACCATTTAGAGACTTGGGCAGGCCACTCCCTCTCAGTCTAAGCTACCTCGCAAGGTTGTTGTTGTAAGGATAAATTTCTCAATCAAGAGTTATCTTATGTCCATTATGAGTCAAGCTCGGCTTTCTGGCTGAGCCATCTTGTCCAAGTAGTGAAAGGAATCGATTTGAAAATTTGAAGAGAATACAAGTTAGGAAAAAAAGATTTTAAGTGCTTGTGCTCACAATGTTAAATAAATAAACCAGAAAATAACACTTGCAATTGTATCTTATTTTTCCTTCTTTTAATAATTTCAACATGGGGAGGGCTGACTAGAAATTTTCCACACCGGGCACCACCTCACCTTGCTACACCACTGTTTAGAGTCTTTATTATTTACAAAACTTTACGCTGGCCATTAATAAAGAAAAAAGCAAATAAAGAAACACAATCTTTTTCTCTTTTCAGCCATCTGGCCAGAGACCTAAGAGACCTCATTCACATACTCATTTTACACTGACCCAGACTTAGCTGATCGCATGCCCTGGTAAGGACACCTGTTGCTGGGAAATTTTCTGTTGCCTAGCAACTTGTTCAAGGCCATTTACAAGTTTCTTCTAGAATATTCCAACCACCAAGTTTCTCATGCACCGCAAGGTCAGTGCAACTCCTAGAACTGTCCATCCGGGAAGAGACAGATGAGCTTCAGCAGCCAGCATATCTGCTCCACAGAAGGATATTCTCCGATCTTAGATCTTAGCTTTTCCTGTTGGGCTACCGGACAATATGTGAGATGTCTGCATTCTGTCAAGGGCTGGGCAAATCAGTTTAACTTTTATAAAAATGGGTGACACCAAATATGGGAAAAGGCGCAAAAGAGAACCTGTTTTTCCTTTTACAGGCTTTGTTATTGTTGCCATCTGGTGGCCAGTTCAAGGCTTTAGCAATTATGGTAGGAGGGAGAGTGATGGACCAGAAAATGTTGTTGTTGTTAAAATGAACATTCAGAAAGGGCTGGAGGTGTTTCTTTTTATCCATGTTTAGGCAGATTATATATTTTTCGCTCCATAAGACGCACCTGACCATAAGACGCACTTAGTTTTTAGAGGAGGAAAACAAGAAAAAAAATATTCTGAATGAAACAGTGGATGTATGATTTTTGTGGTTCATGCTATGGCCACAGACCTGATGGTGAATTTGGGGTGACCCAATGCAAAAATCCTGAGGATCCATGTGGATCCGTGTTTTGTAACCCCGTTTTTGCGCCATTGCGGCACCACGCAACAGTGGGTGCATGATTTTTTTGGTGCAGGCTGTAGCCATGGACATGCTATGTGATCTGATGGTGAATTTGGAGTGACCCGATGTAAAAATCCTGAGGATCTATGGGCTTTTACCCTCCTCCCCCCAGGCAGCCTCCGCTAGCATCCCTTATCTCTCTTCCAATCTCACCAATCAGCTGCTTCCTTTCAACACTCCTCTTGTTTGCCCTAGTGTCTTTTCCTTAGCTGGAGCAGTTTTTTGCTCCCCCTTTTCTTCTAATTTCTCTCCTTATTGCTTTAGTCCTCCTGTCCCCCTTCCCCGCCTTGCAAGTTTGCTGTCTTTACCTCCCCCCTCCCAGGCAGCCTCCTTGATCTCTAGCATCCCTTATCTCTCTCCCCAATCGGCAAACGATCAGTGGCTTTGTTTCAACACCCGCTTCCCTCTTTCAAAAAAAAAAAAAAGAAGAAGAAGAAGAAGAAGCATGATCTTCCTTTTGCCCTTGGGCAAAAGGAGACACACAGACATTTCCCCTTACTTTTTAGGAAGAAAAAAGTGTGTCTTATGGAGTGAGAAATACGGTACTTGGGGAATTTGATCTTTGCAGACCTTCACATGTACTGGCCTGGTCTGCACCTCACAGACTAAGGTGAGAATTGGAAGGTAGCCACTCATCACGTTCCGTACTTCTGTCTGAAATGCTGGGATGCAGTTTTGTGTTAGCTTATGTCTATCAAAATGCCTTTTAAATCATATGTTTTGAGAGAAAGCACATTATTTATTACTTACATTTTCCCCCGCCCTTTCCCCCAGGGAGCTCAAGTTGTCTGACGTGGTTCGTCTCTAATTTTATCCTTGCGACAAGTCACAAGAACCCTGTGAGGTGGGTTAGGCTGCAAGAAGGTGGTGAGCCCAAGGCTGATTTGAACCCAGCTCTCCCAAGTCTTAATCTGCCACACTAATCACTCGCCCACAAAGTCTCTCCGCACCAGAGAGAGTTGGTTTTCATGTGGATTAAAACAAAAAGCAGATGAATGCAGAAACAAACAGAACGGAACAGACTTGCGAGCACACGCATAAAGTGAGAAAAACAGATCTATTCATCTCTACCTAAAAGTGATCTAATAGGTCTTTTAAATTTAGAATTAATCATTTAACAAACACAGTTTTAATAAGCTGATAACACAGGCTTTGGGCTGATAAACATTCAATGTCCTTTTAAATGTGCTGGTGGGAGGGGGATGTTGCGTTTGTTGTTGTTCTTGTTTTATAATGTCTTTTGGGTTCTCATTTTGTGAACTGTCCTGTGATCTTTGGATAAAGGGCAGTGTGCTGGTCCTGGGGGGTTACTGTGTGGCGTGGTCCGAGTCCAGTCCGAGGTCAAGGGTGTGGTATGGAGGCTGTCCGTCAAGGCTGAAGCTGGGTCCAAGGCAAGGAGTCGGGTGGGGTCAGGAACTCTGGCAGAAGAGCAGGACAGGGTGCCAGCAGGAACAGGTTACCACCAATGTTGCTCCTCCCAACCTGGGACTGGGCTGGCTGGCCCTGAGGCATAGGGCGGCCCCGGTCCACAGGTGACTTGCCTCTCCTGGCCTGGAGGTGAGCACTCCTCCTGCGGGAACTTAGTTCCCTCCACCTCTCTACCCTGAGCCTCTGCAGCTCAGGAGAGGCTGGAGGGTTACTGGACCCAGAGGCAACCTCAGCTTCCCCTGACAGGACTGAGAGAGGCGCACCTGCAGGCAATGGGTCCTCAATCACCTCAGGAGCCAGAGCAGACTCAGCTGGTGCCTGCACCTGAGGATCCAGCACAGGTGAGGGCCCTTCAGGTTCAAGCCCCAGCCCCGGCTCAGCTGGTCCTGGAGGCGGGGACTCCTGTGCAGGCTGGGATTCCTCAGGTTCAGCCTCTGAATCCGATTCCCAGGCCATCACAGGCAGTACCTGCTGGCATCTGTCTGTCTCAGAAGACAACAGAGGAGGGTGCCTTTGGAGGTGAAGTCAAACCTTTGGAGAGTTACAGCGCCTGCTGTGGCTGTAGAAACCGATGTGGGAGAGACATGTTTTGTTGCAGCTGGGGCAGAGGAAGGCGTCTGGATGTGCTGCTGCAGATGTACCAGGGCATTTCTTCCCTCTGCGCTCCTCCCAGCAGTCATTCCTTCTGTGGTCACTGCTGTGGATCCACAACTTGACTGTCTGTCTCCAGGCACTGCCCGGCTGCAGAATATTGAGGGGGGCAGGCCTAGTCCCTTCACTCAATTTTTTGGGGGAGCCTTGGCCCCTATGGCCCCACATGGATGGCGTGCCTGTTTGGGGAGGGGAGGGGAAAGGGGGAAAACCTTGTTGTGCTACTGGGACCCATAGGCCTAGCTTCCATCTCCGTGCCTGGCCATTGCTGTCAACTTAGATTTGAAAATAAGGGACCAGCAGCCTTGAAAATAAGGGATCAGCAGCCTTGAAATAAGGGTTCAGCAGCCAAAAGAAGGGATTTTCTGGGCATAGGTATGTTCAACTTCTGAGCCCCTCCGAGCCAAAGGCAGAAAGCCCAGCCAGCAGTCAAACGAAGCCTCAAGCAGTGGTTCCCACAGCGCAGCAACCCGGCAAAGGGGATGCAGCAAGGAAAACCACCGTCACCTCTCGGCTGGGAAGCGCTGAGCAAAGGCGAGTCCCCAGGCAATGCGGCCAATTTGATCGGCACAAGGCATGCAAGCTCCACCCCCCCAGTCATTCTTAGACTCCTTATTGGGTGAGCAACGCAGCCAAGCAACACAGTTGGAGCCTCCCTCCTCCCTGGCCGGCAGGGAGGGAGGGAGAGGAGCTGCTTCCTTTGAAACCGGGGAAATTTAAGGGACATCATCAATAAGGGACAGCAGCGGGACACAGTGCTGGGATAAGGGACTTTCCCGCCAAATAAGGGACGGTTGACAGGTATGTGCTGGGCTAGTTGAATCGGGGCCACAGAGCCAAATTTTGAGGAAACTGATAATTTAAGACACAGTCACTGAGCTGGAAGATATTGTGGGGTGCTGGGGATCAGACAGAAAGCTTTGAATCTCCTTCACTGACTCTTTGACTTTACAGCCTTTTCGCCTTCCCCACCCTTATAACTTTGCAGGCTGTAACTTACCCCTTTCCTGGAACACACCCAGACAAGAAGAAAACTGCTTTTATATTCCGTTCTTGCCTCTCATAATAATTTTGCACCAGGTTTGGTTTCCCTGCGCTGAGTTTGTCACATTTCCGTGGCCTCCTAATTAATCTTTGTTACTACATTTGGAAGATTGTGCTTCGCTCCTTATCAGAGCTGTTCCTGATTATTTTTACACAGAGCTAACCTTTACCAGCTTGGCTTATTAATAGCACTGATTAACTGTTACACGTAGCTAGCTCAGCTTTGTCCTGGGGACAGATTTCATTTTAATAGGTTCCATTTCATTTCTCCTTATTTTCTTTATTCTTGGGTGAGCCTCAGGCTCCGGTATTTTATTTTAAGGCAGCCTTTGCCAACCTGATGTTGCCCAGAAATTTTGGACCACAACTCCCATCAGCCCCAGTCCGTAGGGCCCAGGGGCTAATGCAGCGGTGTAGCTAGCCACTCGGGTGCCGGGTGCGGTGTGCGCATTCTGCAGCCAGGGGCGGGGCGAGCCGCCCATGGGGCAGGGTGCGTTGCGTGGAGCCTCTTCGCCACCACCCCCTCAGCTGTAGGGCAGCTGAGGTAGAAGCAGGGCGCAGACACAAGCCTCACGCTTCCGTTTCAGGCTCCCAAGGCCACCACACCTGAAATATACTCGGAGTCGAGTGTGGATTTCATGCTCTTGATTCAGCTCAGAGTAGTGAGGAATGAATTTCCCCCAGAATGTCTGCTTTATATACATTATTTACACAATGGGCCCCACGTGATTGGCTAATTCTGGGATTCTCCTGTAGGCCAATCAGGTTGTGGATTCACTTCCACCCAGAGTTGGATTGGGTGGCTCCTGCGGACCAATCAGACTGCTGCATTCTGGATCCTATTGTTCTAGGACCAATCAGACTGCTGCATTCTGGATCCTATTGTTCTAGGACCAATCAGACTGCTGCATTCTGGATCCTATTGTTCTAGGACCAATCAGACTGCTGCATTCTGGATCCTATTGTTCTAGGACCAGTCAGACTGCTGCATTTTGGATCGTATTCAACTCAGTACATAACAACATCACTCCCAGGAGAGACGCGTGGCTCTGGCATGCTGCCGGCCCCCGCGGTGTGGCACCCAGTGCCAGCCGCGTTTCGTTACGTTTCTTGACTGAACTAAAAAGTTTCGTAAGCCCATTTATTTCAAACTCATGTTTTTGTCATTTTGTCACACACACCCCTCAGCGATGATACCCAGGGCGCACCCCCCGCACCCCCTTCCTCCTGTACTGGGCTGATGGAAGTTGTAGTCCAAAAGATCTGGAGGGCACCAGGTTGACGAAGCCTGCAGGAGCTTCTTTGTGGACAGCTGCTGGTTGGAATACCATTTCATTACAGTGGTACCTCGGGTTAAGAACTTAATTCGTTCTGGAGGTCTGTTCTTAACCTGAAACTGTTCTTAACCTGAAGCACCACTTTAGCTAATGGGGCCTCCTGCCGCCGCCGCGCCGCCAGAGCACGATTTCTGTTTTCATCCTGAAGCAAAGTTCTTAATCTGAGGTACTATTTCTGGGTTAGCAGAGTCTGTAACCTGAAGCGTCTGTAACCTGAAGCGTCTATAACCCGAGGTAGCACTGTACTGCCATCATTGTTGTGTAATTGTCCCACAGATTTTATTTCTGCTTTTTGGTTGCCCCCATGCAGAAAGGTGCATCACTGCATTGGCATAAAGGAGCGCATTTCTGTTCTGAGCGCTTGATAATTCACGTTTGAGTATGATGAACCACACATGTGAAGAGGATGATACCTGTGTGTCATGACCTGGAACCCAGCTAAGATGCCTTGACCTAGGGCAGCTGGCAAGACCCTCAGGTGAGTACAGCACACAAACTCTTCCCCTAGATGGTACATGTTTCTGACACCTGAAAGCTATAACCCTGAAGTGTGCACATCATGTACACAGCTGACCCCAGCCTCCTGAGTGCTGAGTCCACATAAACATGTTCTCACAGCCACAACCGAAGTGTATCTACAGTTGATTAGCCCTCAAGGCATTCCATCAGTTGCAACTACAAGGCCAGTTATGCTGGGCCTGAGCTGGAGAAGTAACAGTAGAAGTAAAGGTAAAGGTAAAGGGACCCCTGACCATTAGGTCCAGTCGTGACCAACTCTGGGGTTGTGGCGCTCATCTCGCTTTACTGGCCGAGGGAGCCGGCGTACAGCTTCCGCGTCATATGGCCAGCATGACTAAGCCGCTTCTGGCGAACCAGAGCAGCCCACGGAAACACCATTTACCTTCCCGCTGGAGTGGTACCTATTTATCTACTTGCATTTTGAGGTGCTTTTGAACTGCTAGGTTGGCAGGAGCTGGGACCGAGCAACAGGAGCTCACCCCATCGCGGGGATTTTAACCACTGACCTTCTGATCGGCAAGTCCTAGGCTCCGTGGTTTAACCCACAGCGCCACCCGTGTCCCTTAACAGTAGAAGTAGACCTGACTTAAACATGTTTTTTCTGTGTGTGTTCCTAGCCAGCAGTGACGCGAGAGAGCATGTGTTTGCTACAGTTGTATAAAAGCTTTGTGTATCCTTTCTTTGGGGCTCGGTTCTTTTCGAGATATCCAAACCGAGACTCACTGCTGCAGCTTTGAATAAACTCTTTTCAACTTTCCATCCAGTGGCGTAGCGGCATTTCTGGTGCCCGGGATGTGTGCTTGCATGCACTGGGCAGAAGCAGGGCGCAGAGGATGAACGGAGCCTGCCATGCCAGCCCTGCCCTCACCGCCAGAGCCAAGCGGGGCCACCTGCCCACCTGCCCAGGGGGTAGCCCAGCCAGCCAACACGGTTTTGGCGGGCGAATCCCCCTGATGCCCACAGAGAGGAAAGCTGGGCCGGGCTACACTGGGGTCACCCCTTGCCACGTCCTTCCGTCCACACCCGCTCACTGTCCAAGCAAGGAGTGAGCGAGCACTGGCCAGGCGGCCATTCAGTGAGGCGACCAGGGATGCAAGACGGTGAGGCCTAGCCTGGCTCCGGGGCCCAGAGAGCCCCAGCGGCAGGCAGAGTAGGATGGGGGGCCCTGGTTTGTGACCCCTCAAATTTGTGCCACTCCCCCATTTCCACCCTTGGTCACTTCATTTAGCTGGTGAGGGGCAGCATTTTGTATTTTGTTCCAGTAACAAGGATGTTCACAGCTTAAAGAGAAGTGTGGAAATACCCTGAAGAGAAGACCTTAGAAGAACTCGCTTCTCCCATGAGCAGTACAACAAAACAGTAAATGGTTATTCAGCCTAGCAGAACTCTGTGTTTGTTACTGATGCTGGCGACAGGACAGAGCACGTAAATGATAATTAATGGCTCTTATATGGCTTATTAAACAGAGTAATTCTATTGAACTGTCACGGAGGAAAACACAATTCAACAGGCAAGTTGCCATGTCTCTTCCGATGAAGTCAATAAATCCTGCAAATGTTAAGGCCATAGCAGTTACAACAGCAGGAGATAAAGGGAGGTAGATTTAAGAAGCTGAAAGCAACCGCTTTCATAATAATTAAAATTATACTCTTTCAAAACTGCAAAACAGCCTCCAGAGACCCTGAACAAGTCTGATCTTGCATTTACGGCTCATCTAACATGTAGTGGAGTGGTTTAAATAAATTGATGGGTATTTTGCAGACCTAAAGATCCAGCGTAAATGAGATTTGACACAAGGCAGCTGAGATCTGAATGGAAAGGATTACGACTGAAGGAGGGATGTCTAGGGATGTCTAGGGAAATCCATGCCATTTACATTCTGATTTCAACTGCCTTCAAAACACAACGGTCCTTTGCAATTTGTACTTTGCCGAATTGTCTGACGCAGTTCTCTGACCCAAACCGCGTGTGCATTGTGGGGAGAATCCTTGCAAAAATATGTCCATTTGGCACAAACGCATGTGGGAACATGCCTATTCGAAGGAATTGCGGGTGAAATTTTGCCAACACAGGCAAAAATCCCTGAGAGGAGATATGATAGCCATCTTAAAGGCTGTCACACGGAAGAGGGAACAAATTTGAAATCTGAAATTTTTATGTACAGATGTTTAAAGTTTAATTTAAAAAATTGATACACACATACAAAATGCAACATGGTTCCCAGTCTTTTATCCTGAAAGCGTCCTTGGTTGCAAACCCAGAAGAAGTAGCTTGTTCTCCCACGCCTTCAGCCCTGGAAACAACACCACTTAAATCTGACATTTTGCAACGTGTTGCTGCGAGAGCAGCTGCAATCGCTCTCTCCCTTGTTACTGTCAGATGCCAAGAGGCCTATGAGAGAAGGAAGACTGGACGGGCGCCGGAGAGATGGATAATAAACTCAGCGTGGCGCCCTTTATGAGGACTTTGCCAGCTTGGTGGGGAGCCGCTGAAAGGGGAAACGATCGCCTTGGGGCCATTCGCCTCTTGACAGGACTGCGGGACGGAATTAGAAACATGTTATTAGCAAGCACCTCCTACCGAAGGCAGCGATGGCTGCAGAATGGGCTTCTCTGGCTGAAGACATCTGCAAAGGCTGCAGGGGGAGAGACCTTTTAGGGATTGCTGTCAGCAAACTACTGTTCAGTTTTCCTGGTGGGATTTCCCCCCCAAAAAAACCTCTCAATTTTCTTTTAAATCTCAAAATAAGACTTGTGCAGGAAAAGTGTTGCTAGGATGTTTTGTCCCTGGCTTGCCTTTTGTTACATCCCTCTTGGTTTTTAAAAGCGGAGGCGGGTTAATCAGAAGTGACTTTCCAGGTGGGCTGGAACCACTATGCCAGCTTCTGGGCAGGTGTGTCACTGTCAAAAAACCAAAGTGCTGCACCAACAAGTACAAAATAACCCCTTTGCAGCGCCACAAATCCAACTCAATAGTGTAACGTTGGAAAATGTCAATCACTTCTCCTACCTAGGCAGTTATCTTTCCACAAGGATCAACACTGATGCCAATATCCAGCATCCCCTGAGCTCTGTGAGTGCGGCTTTCTCCCGATTGAAGTGCAGAGTGTTTGAGGACCGGGACATTTGCAGGGAAACCAAAATGCTTGTTTACAAAGCTATTGTACTCCTAAACTTACTGTATGCTTGTGAAACACGGACCACTTACAAACACCATCTCCAGCTCCTCGAAAGATTCCATCAACGGTGTCTCTGAAAAAATTTACACATCACTTGGGAAGACAGGCAAACTAATATCACTGTACTGGAAGAAGCAAAGATCACCAGTGTTGAAGCAATGATTCTTCAACATCAACTTCATTGGACTGGTTATGTTGTGCGGATGCCTGGTGATCGTCTTCCAAAGAAACTACTCCATTCTGAACTTAAAAATGGAAAGCGTAATGCTGGTGGTCAACAAAAGAGGTTTAAAGATTGTCTCAAGGCAAATTTAAAAAAAGTAGTATAAACACTGACAACTGGGAAACACTGGCCTGCGAACGCTCCAGTTAGAGAACAGCCTTTACCAAAGGTGTCATGGGCTTTGAAGACACTTGAACTTAGGACGGAAGGGAGAAACATGCTAAGAGGAAGACACGCTTGGCAAATCCACACCGTGATCAACTCCCACCCAGAAACCAATGTCCCCACCGTGGAAGGACGTGTGGATCCAGAATTGGCCTCCACAGTCATTTATGGACTCATTGTTAAAACTGTGTTTATGGAAGACAATCTTACTTGGCTACAAGTGATCGCCAAAGAAGAAGAATGCTTTTAAGGCACCCCATGCTCCCGACTGGAGGAAAGGCAAAATGGGGGTTGTGATGCTCATCTCGCTTTATTGGCCGAGGGAGCCGGAGTACAGCTTCCGGGTCATGTGGCCAGCATGACGAAGCCGCTTTTGGCAAACCAGAGCAGCGCACGGAAACGTTGTTTACCTTCCCGCTGGAGTGGTACCTATTTATCTACTTGCACACTGATGTGCTTTCGAACTGCTAGGTTGGCAGGAGCAGGGACCAAGCAATGGGAGCTCACCCCGTTGCGGGGATTCGAACCGCAACCTTCTGATCGGCAAGCCCTAGGCTCTGTGGTTTAACCCACAGTGCCACCCGTGTCCCACAGTATCATCCAAAGGTCCCCTCAATTCTCCTAAGAAGATGGTGCCTCTGACAAACAGGGGGAAGTGTCTGGGGTGCCCCACTCTGCCCAACAAAATACCAAACTCTCAGTGTAGTAATTTTGTTCTTTTTTAAAAATTCGCTGTTCCCATTTAAACTCCTGATAACGAGGAAATGCTCTCGTCTACATAACCTTCCCTGCATTCTCTCGCACTCTCCTGGGCCTGCGTTTGAGAGAGCTTGAACTCTGCAGGAGTCTTCTAAGGCAACGAAGAAGAGCGCATTGCGGAAATCAGAACCGACAGATCCAGGGTGCCTTTCACCTACAGCTAAAATATTTATTGTATCCGTTTCTCTTCCACCCTGCCCGTCGCGCTCTGACAGGATAATGCTTTAAAAGCAGCGCATCTATAAAACGAGGGTAGAACATCCCAATCTCTTTATTACGTGCCTAGGCCTGATGGCCAAACTTGACTTTGACTAAAACTCTTAAGGATGTTCCCCAACAATTTCCACCGTCACTCATGAGTGCGATTCAGTGAAAGCACTTCCCCATGATTTGAGGCAGGGGTCTTTTCTACCTGGTGATGCCAGGGGTTTAAATTTGGGCTTTCTGCATGCATCTAATGAAGCAGAATGAGGCATGGAAAATCCAGTACAGTGGTACCTCGGGTTACAGACGCTTCAGGTTACAGACTCCACTAACCCAGAAATAGTACCTCGGGTTAAGAACTTTGCTTCAGGATGAGAACAGAAATCGTGTGGCAGCGGGAGGCCCCATTAGCTAAAGTGGTACCTCAGGTTAAGAACAGTTTCAGGTTAAGAATGGACCTCCAGAACGAATTAAGTTCTTAACCCGAGGTAAAGGTAAAGGTAAAGGGACCCCTGACCATTAGGTCCAGTCGTGACTGACTCTGGGGTTGTGGCGCTCATCTCGCTGGGAGCCGGCGTACAGCTTCCGGGTCATGTGGCCAGCATGACTAAGCCGCTTCTGGCGAACCAGAGCAGCCCACGGAAACACCATTTACCTTCCCGCCGGATCGGTACCTACTCATCTACTTGCACTTTGACATGCTTTCGAACTGCTAGATTGGCAGGAGCAGGGACCGAGCAACAGGAGCTCACCTCGTCGCGGGGATTCGAACCGCCAACCTTCTGTTCTGCAAGCCCTAGGCTCACTGGTTTAACCCACCCGCGTCCCTAACCCGCGCTACCACTGTATAAATCAACCACTATTGCATCAATGACTTGTCGCAGAATACATCTGCAGAAAGACACCAGTCTGCAGAGGTCCAAAGTTAAGATTCCAGTCCTCATGAAACATATGTTTATTCAGAGCTTGACGTGTAAGCACCAGACTTTTCATTAAAAGCAGTCTGTTCCCGGAAGCCTGTTGGAATAAGAAAGTCTTCACCCTCTGGAGGAAGGACAAGGAAGGAGCCAGTCTGGCTTCTCTAGGAAAGGAGTTCCAAAGTTGTCTGGGAGCTGCCACCAAGAAGGCCATCTCTTGAGTCCTCACCAAGTGTGCCTGTAATAGTGGATGGACCAGAAGCAGGGCCTTTCCTGAAGATCTCAGAGCCCAGGCAGGTTCATATGAGGGAATACGGTATTTTAGGATTGCAGTATTTCTGGGCCAGGTAAGTGGATGCTGACAGTGTATCCTTCCCTCATCCTTTCACCTGCTGCAGCCAACTTTGACCCATGAGAGGGGCCTTTCCTGCCAATCACCTGGTGTCACAATAATGTCTTAATAATAATAATAATAATTTTCATCATTACGATTTTTCCACATTGAAAATAACAATCCATTAAACTTCCCTTTCCCCCCTTCCATGGTTTCCTCCAAGCTTCCATTACCACAGCATATTCTAGTTAATCCATATCTTCTCTCTCTCTCTATCTACGATTTTCAGGTTTATACAGTTCAATAATTTTACAGTCATTTTAACATTTCAAAACTTGACTTCCTTCCTCATCTTTCTGCGGTTCCTTAAATTTATTTTTAATATCTTCTGCATATCCAAATTAACTTAATTTGTTCGTTTATTCATCTACTTCAAATATATACTCTTATGAAACTGCAGGTTATTACAATAATCTTGCCAGTGTTCTTATCTGTTTACTATTTGTTTGCAAATATTCAATAAACCATTTCCATTTTTTTATAAAAAGTTTGTTATCTTGATTTCTTATTTTTCCAGTAAGTTTCACCATTTCTGCATATTCCTTAAGTTTTTATATCCATTCTTCTTTTGCTGGGACTTCTTCTTTCCATATCTTCTCTATTTTGTTTTATCTCAGCATAACTTGTGCTGCTGAATTGTATGGTTAACGTTTTGACCTGTTTACAGTAATTATTCATATATTCTACAAAAGTTTTCCAATCCTCCTTGTATATTCTTCCCTCTTGTTCTCTGATACTGCTGTTTAGACTCACCAATTCTGCCTATTCCATCATCTTCAACTGCCACTCCTCACTTATTGGTTCTGCTCCTTCTTTCCATTTTCCAGCATAAAGTATTCGTGCTGCCGTAGTTGCAGAAAGGAACAAGTTATTTTGATTCTTAGGAACCTCTGACCCAGTTATACCTAAAAGAAACTCCTCTGGTCTCTTTAAAAAGGACTTTTGAAATATACTCGGAGTTGAGAGTGGATTTCATGCGCTTTATTCAGCTCATAGTGGTGAGGAGGAATGAATTTCCCCCAGAATGTCTGCTTTATATACATTATTTACACAATGGGCCCCACTTGATTGGCTAATTCCGGGATTCACCTGTAGGCCAATCAGGTTGTGGATTCACTTCTACCTGGAGCTGGATTGGGTGGCTCTATGGACCAATCAGACTGCTGCATTCTGGATCCTATTGTTCTAGGACCAATCAGATTACTGCATTTTGGATCCTATTCAACTCAGTACATAACAACTGTTAAAACATTTTTTCATCCGTTGTATATCTCAGAGGGCTTTAGCTACCTTACATGTCCACCACATATGATGAAATGTGCCTTCCGTTTCCTGACATTTCCAACGGGCAACTGATTCTGGTTTATATATCCTTGCTAACTTGCTCTGTGTCAGGTACCATTTGCCATCACAGTGTCACATGACCTGTTTTTTCAGGGTGTCAGGCACAGAAACTACACAAGCCTCAATCAGCTGATTGTCAAGGCTTGCAAAGTGTTGTGTGCAGGGATTTGAAGGTGGCCCTGATCAGCTGACTGGCGACACCAGCAACCCTCGCTTTTGCGCACACCATGGCTTTAGCTGCCCCACACCATGCAGGCCAAATAGGGAGGCATGCATGGGGGCAAGATGAGACCCATGAGCAGAAGGACACCAGAACCTAAGAAGATCCCTGGTGATACACTGGGCTAGAGATAATATCCAACTTTCATACTGGGGAAATTTATGGAAAGAGGAATTAAAATTTACTGCATGCTGTTTGTTGAAAGAAAACTATATGACAATGATGTATCATTGGTATATAACACTGAGTAAAATTGCAAAAATGTACAGAACGAGTTCAAATCTGCGTCGGAAATAATAGTAATAATAATAATAATAATAATAATAATAATAATAATAATATTATTTATATCCTGCCCATCTGGCTGTGTTTCCCCAGCCACTCTGGGCTGCTCCCAATTGAGTGTTAAAAACAATACAGCATTAAATATTAAAAACTTCCCTAAACAGGGCTGCCTTCAGATGTCTTTTAAAAATAGGATAGTTGCTTATTTCCTTGACATCTGATGAGAGGGCGTTCCACAGGGCGGGTGCCATGACCGAGAAGGCCCTTCTCGGAGGAGGGTACTTTTTACCATATATGGTGGGCATGTACACTGGTAAAGGCTTTCTGGGAAATGATATATAATGAATTAAAGAAAATGTGTAAAAATACCTTTGTTAAAAAAAACCAGAAGGTCTTCTGTTAGGAATAATAGGTGAAGAGAAACTGAGAGAGGATAAAAGACTTTTTAAGTATGCAACGACGGCAGCGAGAATGCTACTTCCCCAGAAATGGAAGAAAGGAGAAGTGCCAACTAAAGAAGAATGGCAGAAGAAACTGATGGACTATGCAGAGATGGCAAAACCGACGGAGAAGATCAGAAACCAGGAAGATCATTCTCCTGGGCATAGTCGGCCAATCGGTGTTAAAGAAGGACAGAACTTTCTTTATGTATGCTACAACAGCAGCAAGAATACTTCTTGCAAAGCACTGGAAGACACAAGACCTACCCACACTGGAAGAATGGCAGATGAAAATGATGGACTACATGGAATTGGCGGAAATGACTGGCAGAATCCGACACCAGGGAGAAGAGTCGGTGGAAGAAGATTGGAAGAAATTTAAAGACTATTTACAGAAATATTGCAAAATTAATGAATGTTAGAATGATGTTGGATTGAAGTTAAGTGGTTTCTAGCTGTAATGGTAAAAGAATATGGAAAAATTGGATTTTCAATAGGTCAAAACTTAATGCTATAATATATTAAGATTAAAGATTAGGATAAAATAAGGAGGGAAAGGAATTGCTGAACTAATAATTTGAACCGGAATACAAAAAAGGGAGGCATGAGGAGGTCCGGGAAACAAGTAAATGAAAGATAAGTGATGAAAAGATGGAATTGTTTTTAATTTTTTATTTTTTTTGTATTTTGTATTTTTCTTTTCTCTATTTTTCTTTTTCTTATCAATGTAATCTTTTTTTGAAACTTTAATAAATATCTTTTTTTTTTTAAAAAAAAAGAAACCAGGAAGATCAAGTATTTTCAAAGGACTGGAGTAAATTCTTAATTTACTTAAAAGACCTCTGTAAACAGTTAAAATCATTGGCAGGGATGTAATGACACTTGTAATGTGGAATTAACTATTGTAATTATGGATATATAACAGATGGATAACGGCAAAAGATGCAAAATATTAATAATAATCTTAAATATGGAACCCATGGAGGGAGGGAAAGAGGTCCGAAGATTCAAAAGAATCTCTTATTTTAATGTTTGAAATGGTTAAAGTTAAAATGCACAAAATTGTGTAAAACCAAGAAAAAATATTATTTTAAAAAAGAAAAAAATAAGAATAAGATCCCTGCGGGATCATCTCAAAGTTCCATCAAGTCCAATATAACATTTCCCACAATGCACCACTAAAGACTCCAGCAAACCTACGAGTGGCACACACAGCTTTGTGACCTGATGTGCAAAACTCGCTGGTCGATTATGCCGAACATAATGCATGCAGAAAGGGCCAATTTAGGGCATTTGTACATGCTGACGCTTCCTCAACTCTCTCCAGGAAAGGAAGACGGAATATATAAATATATATACGATGCCCAGAAGATCTCGGCGTTTGCATTGACAGCCCCACGGAGATGTCAGCTCAGTGTGCTGCTCTGCTTAGCAAAGCGCGTATAATGCATTCTGCCGAAATTCAAAGGAGGAGAGGGAATAGGAGGGGAAGCGTGGAATTGTTGTGATTGACAGGCAGGGCAGTGTTACCTTGAAGGAGAGTTTGCAAAGGCAGAGTGCCCCAGATAATGCCTAGAGTTTAAAATACTGTTGGAAGACTTTGGATTGCACAGGAGGAGCCCGGAGAATTATTTACTCGGAAGGAAGTTCTAATGCATCCAAAGGGGCTTACTCCTGTGTAAAGCGGTGTTAGCACTGCAGCTGAAGAAAAGCAAAGAGAACTGAGGCTGGATGTTGGCAGCCTTCCTGCAGATTTGATGGGGGGAGCAGCGGTCTTTGCCTGTTTGGGTGTCTGAGCTGTGAAATTGCCACGTGGGCTCAACCTGTATTTCTGTAAATGAATACAAAATATTAAAACAAGGTTACCAGATTTTTTTCAAAGAATCCGGGGACACTTTGGGGTTTTTTTGAATACAGAAAAAAGTTATTTTAAAAAGTTATTTTTTAAAATAAAAATAAAAATAAAGAAGTAATCTCTTCTGTGGTCTCATCTGTCGCGCGGCCTTCCTCTGGGCCACGGCCTGCTCTCTTGGAGCGCTAGCCGCCATGGAGTAGGCTTGGGTCAGACCTGGGCTCAGCCACATGTCCTTGCCCTCCCAGTTCTCTCCTTCCTCTCCTCTCTAGCTGCGGTGGTGGTGGTGGCAGTGGTGCAGCAAGGTTGGGGCTCCCCTCTTTTTTCTCCTTTCTCTTTCTCTCTTCCTTCTCCTTCTACTCTCCTCCTTCTCCCTGCGTCGGCTCCAGGTTTTTCTTGGCCCCAGAGCACCACTGGGCAGTTGGCCGGGCACTCTCGCTCCTGGCTTGATTTGGGTCGTGGGGCGTGTGTGTCAGTGGTTCCCCCAGTTGACACACCGGGCGTCCCCGGTTCCCCCTCAGCAGTGGCAGTGGCAGTCTCAGCAGCCTGGAGCCCGCCTGGTAGAGCAGTTGGCTCTGGCTGGCTTCAGGAGCTGCTCACTGCCATGGCGCCCGCCATTTTGCCTCACCGGAAGTCCCCATATGATGTGTCTTGTGCCATTGAACCAATCACGCAACATTCACTCCCTACTAAGAAATCTACAACCATTAAAATATAAATCCGGGACATTAAATGAAATCCGGGGACATTCCGGGGACGAATTTTGTCTGGGGACAGATTTGTAAATCTGGGGACTATCCCTGAGAAACGGGGACATCTGGTAACCATATATTAAAATGCCAAGGGGTCTGGAATAACTTTCTTCCAAAGCACACCAAACCTGGTTCAGCACTACAGTCGTACCTTGGTTCTCGAACGTCTTGTGACTCAAACGTTTTGGCTCCTGAACTCCGCAAACCCAGAAGTAAGTGTTCTGGTTTACGAACATTTTTTGGAAGCCAAACGTCTGACATGGCTTCCACGGCTTCCAATTGAGTGCAGGAAGCCCCTGCAGCGATTCGGAAGCCGTGCCTTGGTTTTCAAATGTTTTTGGAAGTTGAACGGACTTCTGGAATGGATTCCGTTTGAGACCCAAGATACACCCCTTGGATTTTTTGCCCCACTAGGGTGGGCCTACCAATGCATGCAAACTACTTTGCTGGATGAGACTAAGGAACTGCCTCACCAGAGGGATGCCTTCTTTCCTTGTGGCTGGACCAACCACCAGCCAATTTTAAATGGGTCCTAAAAATTTTGTATCAAACGTCAGGATTGCTTGTTTCCTTGCTTGTGCTTTGTTCTAATTATCTGTTTGTTTCTAATGTATTTTAATGAAGATTTACTGTTACATTGTTTTTTTCTTGCTTGCTCTTGCAGAAAAAGGCAGGATACAGATGTAAACAAAACATAACTCAGAGTTTTGCACGAGAAAAATAATGCCAGCTGTTGTGCTGAAACATTCATGGGAAGTGAACTTTCTCCTGGTTACTTGTGGTCACAAGTATTGGTCACAAGGAACCTCCATTTGAAGCAACCTCTTCTTATAAATAAAGACAACCTCATTCAGCTGCAGAAGCTTCTGTAGTTCTTTAAAACAATTGTGTTGTTTTTTAAAAAACAACAACCAAGGTGACTGTTTTACTGTACCTTTCTGACTGGTGTCAGATATAGGAGTACAGTGGTACCTCGGGTTACAGACACTTCAGGTTACAGACGCTTCAAGTTACAGACTCCGCTAACCCAGAAATAGTACCTTGGGTTAAGAACTTTGCTTCAGGATGAGAACAGAAATCGTGCTCCAGCAGTGCGGCAGCAGCGGGAGGCCCCATTAGCTAAAGTGGTGCTTCAGGTTAAGAACAGTTTCAGGTTAAGAACGGACCTCTGGAACGAATTAAGTACTTAACCCGAGGTACCACTGTACACTGTTCTCCATGGCTACCAACCAATCAGATTTCCCTTCACATTGCCCGCAGCCTTATGATATAGAAACGTGTGGTTTTTAAAAAAATAAAATGTTGAGATGCTGAATTTTGCATGTGGCACCAAAAGTATACCTAGAGATATGGAATGCACACATCTGTGCAGTTGTTAAAATGAGAAGCAATGTGGATTTACTTGTAAGAAGCCTGAACGAAAAATACCCTTTCATGCAATCAAGTTAAGATATTGCCATTGGCTGCTTGCTTCCCTTTCAAAGATGACCAGGTTTTTTATGGTTGTTGTTTTTTTAAAAGCATTTTGTTTTGCCTAGAGTATTGCATGCTATGAATTAGCATCAGCAGCTTTTTTTCTGGGTTTAGCCTCTGGTGAATGCTGGCGAGAGTTTCTTATGCAACCCAGCCATTCTTCATAATGCATGAGGCATCATTCAGATGCAGCCGTGGTCCCTGGAGGGCCCTCAAAACTTCGTCTCATTTTTCCTGCCCATGGCTTTTGCCAGCCCTGGTTTAGGTTTTAGAGTGGGTTAAACCACAGAGCCTTGGACTTGCTGATCAGAAGGTTGGTGGTTCGAATCCCTGCAACGGGGTGAGCTCCCGGTGCTCGGTCCCTGCTCCTGCCAACCTAGCAGTTCAAAAGCACATCAAAGTGCAAGTAGATAAATAGGTACCACTCTGGCAGGAAGGTAAACGGCGTTTCCATGCGCTGCTCTGCCAGAAGCGGCTTAGTCATACTGGCCACATGACCCGGAAGCTGTACGCTGGCTGCCTCGGCCAATAAAGCGAGATGAGCGCCGCAACCCCAGAGTCGGTCACGACTGGACCTAATGGTCAGGGGTCCCTTTACCTTTACCTTTCCACTGCCCAGTGGGATGAATTTTGTACATTAGCGAACCTTGTACTTATCTGCAGCTCGCATGGGGATGTGCCGGGATGCGCTACGCAGCTTTAAGGCCTGCTGCTTCTCACAGCGTAGAGCAACCTTCTCCAAACTGGTGGTGCCCTCCAGATGTTTTGAACTACCACCCCATCATCCTTGACCATTGGCCGTGCTGGCTGGGACGGATGGGAACTGTGGTCCAGAACAACTGTCAGGGTTGGAGTCAGGTGCAGCTCAGCAAGAAAGGACACAAATGCCAGTGAAGTTAACTCTTTCTTCCACGAAACAAAAATGCAACTCTGCCTAGTGGTCTCAGCAACCCTTCCCAGTAGGTCTTGCCCCTCTGGAGAAGTTGCCAGGCCTGAAGGTCTCTGCCTTTTACCGCTCCCCCCCCAATTTTTATTACGGTAATTTTTCTGCTTTACGTTTTAAAATTACCCGAGCGACTATCCCGTGCCTGGGAGGGCACCCTCCACCCCCCCTCAGGAGCACGCCCACCCTGTATATAACCCTCGTAAAGTTAGCAAAAATGTATAAGATAAGTAACAAATGTTGAAAATGTAAAGAAAAGGAGGGTACTTTCTTTCATATGTGGTGGGAGTGTAAGAAGGTAAAATGCTTCTGGGAAATGATTTATAATGAATTGAAGAAACTGTTGAAATATACATTTACTAAGAAACCAGAAGCGTTTTTACTAGGTATTACACGGAATGAGATAAACAAGAAAGAGAAGAAGTTATTTCTATACGCAGTGACTGCAGCAAGAATATTGATGGCCCAGAAATGGAAACAAGAGGAGCTGCCTACGATAGAAGATTGGAGAGCCAAAATGATGGACTATGTGGAATTGGACAGAATGACAGGAAGGATTCGGAATCGACGAGATCAAAGATTTACAGAAGATTGGGAGAAGTTTATTCAATATTTGCAAAAACTAAGTGATAACCAGATTACGTTTGTAAGTTTTAAGGAAGCTCTGTGATGTGAAAATCTAATAATAAGTATAAACAATGAATTGAAGCTACCAGAATAAATAACAATAAGTAGGATTGTGTTAAAAGTTATAAAATGAAGGAAGTTCAGACAAATTGAGGGAAGTCAAAAAATGGAATTAAGAGGTAATTAAGAAGTTTGAATGTACAACTTTGTTTTCTTTTTTTGTATTTGTAAACCAATAAAAATATAATTAAAAAAAAAAAACCACCCTGGGCAACGTGGGCATATGCTCTGCCACTGTGCTCAGCCTCCCACTAATAGTAATAGTAGTAGTAGTAGTAATAATAATAATAATAATAATAATAATAATTTATTATTTGTACCCTGCCCAACTGACTGGATTTCTCCAGCCACTCTGGGTGGCTTCCAACAAAGATCAAAAATACATTAAAATATCACACGTTAAAAACTTCCCTGAAGTTTGTCTTCTAAATGTCAGGTAGTTGTTTATCTCTTTGACATCTGATGGGAGGGCATTCCACAGGGAGGGCACCACTACTGAGAAGGCCCTGGTTCCCTGTATCTTGTTTCTCGCAGTGAGGGAACTGCCAGAAGGCCCTCGGCGCTGGACCTCAGTGTATTGACAATAACAATTAAAAAGCGATAAAACATTCAGATGTCTTCTGAATGTCAGGTAGTTGTTTGTCTCTTTGACATCTGAAGGGAGGGCGTTCCACAGGGCGGGTGCCACCACCGAGAAGGCCCTCTGCCTGGTTCCCTGTAACTTGGCTTCTCGCAGTGAGGGAACCGCCAGAAGGCCCTTGGCACTGGACCACAGCGTCCGGGCAGAACGACGGGGGTGGAGACTCTCCTTCAGGTATACAGGACACTTGTTTGTCCATTCCCAATAGCAACAGCTGGTGGAATGGCTGTCTGGGCGCCCTTGCCCACTTGCTTGCTTACTCCGAGGCTGCCCCAGCGCCTGACACCCAGCACCCCCTGGCCAGGCACCATTCGCCTGCAGAACTCGTAGCCAGGGCTGCTGCAACAAACAGCCCCACAAGTCTTTGGGAGGCAGAGACTCAAGAGGGCATCAGAGGAGGGAGGGAAGGAAAGAGGGACAGAGGCCAGTGTTGCCCGCGGCACGACTGACCATCATTCAAGGCACCCCAGGGTACCACGGCACACTGGTTGGAAACCACTGTTTTAAGGCATTGGCTGTCACCACTAGAAATGGGCCACTCTGCCCGTTTCTGTTTCTCATTTTTCTCGTCTTGACTCCAGTGTGGTGTAGTGGTTAAGAGCGGTGAACTCATAATCTGGTGAACCAGGTTCGATTCCCCGCTTCTCCACCTGCAGCTGCTGGGTGACCTTGGGCTAGTCACACTTCTCTGAAGTTTCTCAGCCCCATTCACCTCACAGAGTGTTTGTTGTGGGAAAGGAGAATGTTAGCCACTTTGAGACTCCTTTGGGTAGTGATAAAGCAGGATATCAAATCCAACCTCCTCCTCCTCTTCTTCTTCTTCTTCTTTTTTTCCTCCTCGGTCTCCACATTTCCACACCAGTTTGCTTAAAAAAGAAGCGGCCCTCATGAATATTCATTGACTATTTTAGTGCCGCTAATGTATGCATACTTGCAAGCAATTTCCTCTAATACAATGCATTCTTTGCCTGTTGTTTTGGTTGGAGCTTGGTATATATAGCAGCAGAATGCCGAAATAAATCGTCTGGTAAGTGTGCTGATTGAAAGAATGATTTTTTAAAAAAACAACTCAAAACTTGGATTTATTATTCCTGGCAAAGAAGCCCATTCTGAGCACCAGTTTCTATGTGGCTGTAATGGAGTCATGAGGTCAACCAAAGAAGGCCTAAAAGTCAACCCTCACTGTACTGGAGGAGGGAGGAAGGAAGGAAAAGTCTGAGAAACAACTATCTACGGGTTATCAAGGAGGAATCCGTGACGAGCAAGAACAGGTTGCCTTTCTGTCTATTGCCCCCCACTGGTTCAGGTAACATATTGCAAGCGTTGTTGCTTTACTCCAGCGATGGCCAAACTTGGCCCTCCAGCTGTTTTGGGACTACAGTTCCCACCATCCCTGACCACTGGTCCTGTTAGCTAGGGATGATGGGAGTTGTAGTCCCAAAACAGCTGGAGGGCCAAGTTTGCTCATCACTGCTTTACTCCCAATGAATTTCACAAATACATGAATTTTTATGCCCACTTTCCCCTACTATGCAAATTATTTGAGAGGAGGACTGCACTGCAAACTCTGGAGAAGTCCAGCTGTTGAGGGATAGCTTTTTTTGGCTCATGCATTGTTTTGAGAAGTTCAAACCAAACCACTTTTTCACCTCATTTTGTTCAGGCAACAAGCTTTCGGTTAAGCTCAAACTGCCAAGGCTAGTACTCCTGTAACTTGGAAGCCCATCAATCTAGTGGCCTCAGTCCAGTATACATGAAGGAGCGTCTCAACCTCCATCGTTCTGCCTGGACACTGAGGTCCAGCTCCGAGGGCCTTCTAGCAGTTCCTTCGCTGCGAGAAGCCAAGAAGCCAAGTTACAGGGAACCAGACAGAGGGCCTTCTCGGTAGTGGCACCAGCCCTGTGGAACGCCCTCCCACCAGATGTCAAAGAGAAAAACAACTACTAGACTTCTAGAAGACATCTGAAGGCAGCCCTGTTTAGGGAAGCTTTTAATGTTTGGTGTATTACAGTATTTTAATATTTTTTTGGAAGCCGCCCAGAGTGGCTGGGGAAGTCCAGCCAGATGGGCGGGGTATAAATAAATTATTATTATTATTATTATTATTATTATTATTATT